GTCAAAACCTAATGTGCGTGCGTGTGCGTATTTTAAAATTTCATAACTTTTTTCTTTTTTTTTTTTTTATTGCATAACAATTACTTTTATGAAAATAATAATGATAATAATAGTAACAAGAACAATTTTTTTTGTATGTTATTAACGTATCGAATTATTTTCGATAGGTAAAATTATGTAATTAAATTTTTTAACCAAATTATTTTCGTTTACAAAAAAAAAAATGATCCGCCATATTTTTTTTCCCGACTTTGACCTTGTGAATAAGAAAAAAATTCAACTTTTTATTACGGGATATATTATGTAGGCATTACGCAAAATGTGTGTGAGAGAGAGAGAGCACTTACTGGTTAACAATTAGTCGCCTACTACCAAAAGAAGCCAGTTAAAACCGGTCACGGTGTGTGTTACCACCGTAATAAGTTTCTCTTCTTTCCCGCAAAAAAAAAAAAAAATACAAAATTCAAATTTTCTAACACAAAATAAATCACTCCCAGTATTATCATTATTATTATTATTATAATCATTCACTCCGACGCGGAAAATCGGGTGTGGTTAATTTAAGGAAGAGAAGTCGAATAAAAATAAAAAAAAATTCACAGGTATAAAAACTACTACAAGTACTCCACCTGGCCTCCAGGTAGTAGTTCTTAAAAAACCTTTTTTTAATAATACTACTGACTGCTACTGACTGCTACCAATACCTGTTTCCACCACTGCTTACCACCCTTCGTTAATTAATTATTAATTAGTAAATAAATAATTAAAATTTTTTTTTCTTTTTCTACTTTTTAATTTATACAAATATTCGCGAATAAAAAGTTCCACAAATAAAAAAAATATCACGTTAACGACACCAATAATAAAAATAATAATAATGATAATGATAATAATGACAATTCATAATAATAATAATAATAATAATAATAATAATATTAAATTAATTGAAAATTTCAATTTCAAGGTTTTTACGACCAGAAAAAAAGAAACTCCACCCAAAATTTTAAAAATAAAAAAAATAAAATTTTTTTTGCGTGCGTGTGTGCGTGTGCGTGTGTGTGTCGTCATAGCGAGATAAATATATTTAAATAATTTGATAATATTTAAATGATAATAGTAATAATAATAATAATAAAATGATTTGGTTTTTTTTTTTAGGTAAATCCCAAAAGTAATTACGTCATCACGCGAGAGTTATTAAAAATATTATTATCATTATTATTGTTTTACCCTTATTGCCTTATTTTATAGTATATGGTCGTTTTACTCCTCCCCCCTCGTCGTACTCGCGTAAAAAACCGCCCCTTCCCCTCCCTTTCTCTCTCCTCCCGCCGCCATTTTTCTTCTTCCTTCCCCGTCTCTTTCCCACTCTCTCTCCGTCTGGCTGTTTCCCCCCCCCCCAATTTAATATGACAATAAAATTTGCAATTAAAATGCAATTAAAAAATCCAATTAAAATAAAACATAAAAAAATTCGTTTTGATAATTTTTCACGAGACATGAATTTTCCCTTTTTTTTTTATCGGCCAATTCAAAATATTAAAAGTTATTAAAATAAAAAAAAACATGGAATGAATCTTCCACTTTTTTTAAATATGAAATTTATATAAATAATAATAATGATGATGATGATGATAATAATATTCCCGGAAGATTTAAATAGTTAATATTTAGATCCCTTGCGGCGGCGGTGGTGGTGGTGGTGGCGTCGTCGTAATTGTCACCCCGAAGAAAAAAAAGTAAATTATTTTTTTTTTTTTTACAAGGACTATTCATTTGACGCCATTTTTAAAGGTCGATCGAAATTTTTTTTGACAAAAATGACGTAAAAAAAAAAATAATAATAATCATTTCCGCATTTTATTTTTTAATCCGTTTCCTGTTGTCGTCGTCGACGTCGTTATTGAATTTATTATTTTTTTTTTAATGACTTTTCAAAAAAAAAAAAAAAAACTATCATCGATTTTCCGTCATTATTAATTTTGTAAAAATTTTTTTTTTTTTTTAAATTGATATTTAAAATCGGAACAATCTGGAACAAAGGATGGGGAGCGCAGGTGTGTGTGTGCGTGTGCGTGTGGGGCACGACGACGTGTCATTGCGAGACGGTTAAAAACCGGTTCGTAAAAAAAAAAATAACCGAAAAAAAATGTAAAAAAAAAAAAAATGGCGACGATTCGCGATTGTTTCAATCGTCTCAACTCCATAATTTTCTTCGTTATCATTATTATTATTATTATCATTATTATTTTTGGTAGTTTCAAAAATGTAATAATAATGGAGGCGCGAAGGTGAACGCGAAACGAAAAAAAAAAAAAAAATTTTTTTTCGGGTTCGGCACGCGACGCCTAATAAAACATGTTTTTCCCAGCCACACACTCATTATTATTGTAATAAAAATAAATTTTCTTTTTTTTCTTTTTTTTTATAAAAAAACCTTGACAAAGGAATCAAAGGAGTCAAAGGAATTTTTTTTTCCTTTTAACCAAATTGTCACAAACACTTAATTATGTCGTAAATTACTTTTTTTTTTTTTAATAAAATTTTTATCGTACGAAATGTGAATAAAAATAATTTTTTTTTCTTTTTTTTTTTTTAATAAAAGCAATTTAATAATAATGATAATGATAATAATAATAATAATAATTGGTAATAAATTATGCAAATTAAATAAATAAATAAAAAACTAATTGGGTCATTAAATTAATTATGAAATTTTCCTTTTAAATCCACCTTTCCCAGTCAGAGACAAAAAAAAAATGAATTCAATAGTTAGAATTACTAAGTATAAAAAAAAATTTTATTAAGATCTACTAGACTTCTACTAGATTTTAAAAAGCAGAAGACGTCAAAAAAAAATCTTTAAACTATAAGTAAAATTAGAGTAAAATAAATAAGAAAAGAAAAAAAATTTGGGTTCTTTAGTTGCTTTTCGGTTAATTTTTTTTCTTTTCTCTCTCACACACTCTCCCTTCCTTTCTCTCTCTTCCTACCTCTTTCAACCTCTCTCTCTCTCTCTCTCTCTCTTTGTGCATAACATGTTAAAACATTTTCGAATGGAAAAAAATGCGAGTGATTGCACACAAAACACAATTTAATTACGACGAATGAAAAAAAAAATGGTTGTTGGTTGGTAAATAGTTTAATTTGATCGTCGTATGCCTTAATACTCGTTATCACAATTTGATAACGATAATAATAATAATAATAATAATAATAATAACAATAATTCATTTATAATTACCAGAGAGAGAGAGAGAGAGAGAAAGAGAGAAAAAAATTTATTTTATTACAAATAATTATCAAGACGACCTTTTCTTTTTTTTTTTTTTAACCGGGGGGTGTTTTTTTTTTTTAAATAATTCGCATGGTCAAATGACAAAAAAAAAAAATTCTAGAAACGTTACGACGACAAAAAAAAAAGTTTTGTTATCTGCCGCCATATTTTTTTTTTTTTTTTAATACGAAATTGATCGATATTAAAATTTTTATAATAATTTTATCATGTAAAAATTCTCACGGTCCGAGAAAAAAAAAAAAAAAACAAACAGGCATGTTTGTTTAACATACGTTTTGCCCCCAGGGTGCCAACACATGCTATGAGGTCAATGATAACCGATACCTTGTTTTTTATTCTCTTTTTATCGTACCTGATTTTAAATGTCATCGTAAATTTTAAATAAATCAAAGGGAAAGGGGGAGCAAGACAAATGAAAAATACCTGATTGGGGGCGTGTGTAATTTTATTAAAAACTAATTATGCGAGGGTCAGAAATGGTAATGAACTAAAAAAGTAAAAATATTTTGTTCTTAAAAAGAGAGAAGATGCTTAAACAGCATCCCGTAAAGGATCCGACGGTTCACAACAAAATTTAATTTGTAATAAATGAAGAAAAATTTTTTTATGATTTGTTTTACTGTCGGATTTGGGAAATTTTAAAATTTTCTTTTTTTTTCAAGGTACCTATATTGATAAAATAATTTTAAATAAAACAGAGAGAGAGAGAGAGAGAAAATCCAAAACGCGACAAGTAGTATCTTTTCCATTAAAAAAAAATATGAATGAATTTATTTTCAAGGTTTCTCCTCCCCACTTAATTCACGTTCCAATACTTCCTGCAAGTATTTTGATTTGCCATGACTGTCCCTGTTTGGTGTAGATTTATATAAAAGTCTGGGGGACCGTATATAAAACCATAGTGCTAGCTGTAACTCAGAGTAGCTAATTCAACAATTCAAAATGATGAAAACGGTAAGTTTTATTTTAAAACAATCCTAAATTTCTGTCGTCGTCAAAACAATTTTGTTCAGTGGAAAGTTTATTTTGTTCAGAAAAATAATAGTAATATTAGCGGAAAGAGAACGAAAAAAAGAAAAAATGCGGGAAAAGTGGAAAATTTAAATAATTGGAAAATAGTGAAAGTGATTTGGAAAAATTTTTCTTTTCTTTTTTTTTTTTTTTGTTGGAATTTTTGGGGATCCGAATAGGATTAAAAAAAAAATTTTTTTATTTTTTAAGGAGATAAAACTGTATAGATAAAGTTTTTAAAGTAGATAAAATTTTAAAGTTTTAAGAAGAATAAGCTACTTAATTTGAAAATGTCGAAACCGTAAAAAAGTATTTTTGCGGGGGAACAAAAAAAATTTTTTTTTTTTTTCTATTGGAAATAAACAGATGCATAAGTTAAACAGTAAAAAAAAAAAATGTTTAATTCTATTGGGATTTAAGGGAGGGAAATTAAAAAAAAAAAAAAAAAATGGAAAAAAAGGTTTGATTATTGGTAAGGATGATTTTTTCCAGTTAAAAAAAAATATGGCGTACACGTGTCCCTTCATGCTAATTTTTTTCAATAAATAATGAATCCTTTTCTTAATGTGAGCGTTTCGAGTTTAATATAATGATTTCCGGTTGCTGTCGTTCGTTATTCATGATATTAACCGTAGAAAATTTTTTTATACGATGAATGAATGGAACGTAATGAAAATGATAATTTTTTTTTTTATAGATCGTTTGCTTTTTGGCCGCTGTTGCCGTCGCTTCTGCTGGACTCCAAGGTCCAGGACCAGAAGTTTACAGCGCTGTCTCCACCCAACAACAACACCACTCTTTGGCCACCAGCTCTTCCTCTAGAGTTCAACACTTCAACCACAGAGTTGTTGTTTCTCCAGTAGCTGGTGTTGCTGGTGTTGCCGGAGTTGCCGGACTTTCCGGAGTCGCTGGACTTTCCGGAGTCGCCGGAGTTGCTGCTCCAGTCGCCACCGTTGCCCGTGTTGCCACCGTTGCCGCTGCCCCAGTCGCCACCGTTGCCGCTGCTCCAGTCGCCACCGTTGCTGCTGCCCCAGTTGCCACCGTTGCCGCTGCTCCAGTCGCCACCGTTGCTGCTGCCCCAGTTGCCACCGTTGCTGCTGCTCCAGTCGTTGCCGCCGCTCCAGTCGCCACCGTCACCCGTTACGCCTCTGTTGCCGCTGCTCCAGTTGCCTCTGTTGCCCACGTTGCCGCTGCCCCAGTCGCCACCGTCTCCCGTTACACTTCTGTCGCTGCCCCAGTCCACGTTGCTGCTGCTCCAGTCGCCTCCGTTGCCCACGTTGCCGCTCCAGTCGCCTCTGTAGCCCACGTTGCCGCTCCAGTCGCCACCGTTGCCCGTTACGCCTCTGTTGCCGCTGCTCCAGTCGCCTCTGTTGCTCACGTTGCCGCCGCTCCAGTCGCCACCGTCTCCCGTTACACTTCTGTCGCTGCCCCAGTCCACGTTGCTGCTGCTCCAGTCGCCTCCGTTGCCCACGTTGCCGCTGCTCCAGTCGCCTCTTTCGCCCGTTACGCTTCCGTCGCTGCTCCAGTTGCTTCCGTTGCTCACGTTGCTGCTGCTCCAGTCGCTCACTCTGTTGCCACCCCATTCGTCCACTCCGTTGCCGCTCCAGTCTCTCACGTTTCTGCTTTCTCCGCCCCAGTTGTTTCCACTTACAGCCTCGGAGGACACGGATACGCTCACGGATTCAAATCCTACCACCACTAAATTTATTAATTTCTTTTCCTTAACCAAAAAGTCTGCCGTACGAACGTTATTCGTTCATTTCCAATAGTCAAACAAAACTTTTCAGTATTTTCATCATGGTTGAATTGTGAATTTCTGTTATGTATAATATGTAATATTAATATTAAATATTAATTAAAAATTAATATTTTATTATTTTTTTTTAAATAAAACTTAAAAAATTAAATATAAAAAAAAATTTTTTCTTTTTATCAAATCCTCCATATTTTTATCATCGACCCCAGAAAAAAAAAATCTATCGATTTATCGATCGACATATCGATATTTACGAATTATCATAAAAAATATAAACAGTAAAAATTTAAATATTTATATACGTATAAATAATAATAATACTAAATTCCGGTTAAAAAAAAAATAAAAATCGATGATCTGGAAATGATGACAGTTTTTCTATATACTACACTACGATTAACTATTTTTCCAGTTTTTTTTTTTTTTTACTTTCTGGATAAAATTATCATCATTTTACTGATCCTACTACTACTACGCATGAATGTTTATTATAATCGTAGTATTTTTATAAGGGTTATTAAAATTTACGCGCCATTTTACTTTATAGTTATAGAATAATATAATATTTTAGAATGCAATTTTTGTTTGAAACTAATCCTTAAAAATCTGCATTAAACGTTTTTTTTTTACTAAAATATAAAAACACGAACATGAATGTTTCGAATTATTATTATTATTATTATTATTATTATTATTCCCTTCAAAAATAATTTTTAAAATTTATTTTATAGTAATATTAAAAACGCTGGGGGGCTTTGAAGTCTCAAAAGGGGCACCGGAAAAAAAAAAACAACGAGTTACAAAATAAATTTTTATTATACACATTTAAAGTTTCATTAAGAATGATTGCAACCGAAACAATAATAATAATAATTTTAATTATAAAACCACGTGTGTGTGCGTGCGTGCGTGTGCGTGTCATTATTTTTTAAAACCACGACAAAAGCCAAAAAAAAAAAATTTGCTCGATAGGTCGTAGGTAAGAGTTACGACATTTTCAAAAAAAAAAAAGGTGGGAATTTTCGGTAAAGAAAGGACAAACGGACGTAGTATAAACAACCACAAAACAATTTCAAGTACTCTTACGACAAACAAACAAACAATAAAAAAAAAATATGTTCCCAGAGAATTCGATGGAAAACGAAAAATGAAAGATAAAAAAAAGGAAAAAAATCTCGCTTACTCTTACGCCCCATTTACGTGTCAATCTTATTTTGATTATGACGTCATCATATTTAAAAATATTATATTTCCACTTATGAGAGAAGGGGTTTTCTTTTTTAAATCTTTTGTATTCGAACCTACAACCACCTGCGTATATCTCTTGTTTATTATTATTATTATAAATATTTCTTAGAGTCGAAGGATTTTTTTTTCGGTAACAAACAAAAAAAAAAAGAAAAAGGAAAATAACTTGCGGAACTTTTTGATTATAAACAAATTCGAGTGGTTTGATGACCACACCGGAAATTAATACCCGGAGATTAAAAAAAAAAAAAATTATGAGTACTACTCGAGTCGTAAAAAAAACTTTTTCGTTTGTTTGTTTTGATAACGAAATTTTATTCATGATTGATATTAATATATATTATTTTAAAATGATTTCGTTCTGAACAAAATTACGCGTGTGTGATTTAATTTCAAGGTTAAATAAATTCCTTAATCCACGCCTAAAAAAAAAAGAAAATATCGTGATTTGAGAGATAGAGAGAGAAAAAGAATTTTTTTTTTTTATTTTTAGGTGTGTTTCCTGGTTCTTGTGAAACTTGGTCGAGTAAAATTTTTTTTTTTTTCAAGTAGGTCAGACATCTTAAGGCTACAACCTGATTTTATTGCAAACCTCCCTCGCCTCAAAAAGTTTTTTTTTTTTTTTTTATCTCGAATGGGTTCATTAAAAAAAACCTGTCATTAATAAAAAAAAAAAAAAATTACCTGAGCGAAATTAGGGTAATAATTTTCCCTTCGGGTAATTTAAAACAAACAATAAAAATTATTTTTCTCACGTGGTTTGTTCACGTGTTTTTTTTTGTTTTTTTTTTTTGTTTTTTTTGTAATTTATAATTAAATTGTTGTTTTTTTTCGGTAGGTAGGTATGGAATTGCGTAATTTTTTTTCTTACCACAAATTTCTAAATAAAAAATTTTTTTTTTCTTTTCGGGTTTATATTTTTGATAGTTGTCCTGAAAGTCTACTTCTTTTTTTTTAATATTTTAAATTCAAAGAAAAAATTAATTAAAAACTGCAAAATTTAAGTTTTGGTTAAAAAAAGACAAAAAAAAACATATCAATCTAATAATAATAACAAGTGAATTGTTTATTTTATTTTTTTTAGAACGCCATGTTTAAAATTTAATGATACTGTTATTTGTAATAGATACGTAATAAATAATGTTGTTGTTGTTTTTTTTTTTTTTTAGAAAAAAAAAGAGGGGAAAGTCCTAGAGAGCTTGAAAATAAATAAAAAAAATTCTATAATTATACGTTTAAGAAAAAACAAAAACAAAACAAAATTCCAGAAATTTTTTTTTATTTTTTTATTTACGTTCTAAATTTTTATATTTAAATTTAAAATTTTCTATCAAATTTTTTTTCCGTTTTGTACATAAAATACGATTCGTTATTTTTTTTTTTTTAAATTTTCCACTTCCCGCTCTCCTCCTCCCCCCTCACCGTTTCAGAAAAAAAAGAAAATAAAAGAAAGAAAATTAATTAACTTTAAAAAAAAGTAAATAAATAAAAGTTCATTGACCTCGAGTTACGATTTAAATGCCGACAATAACATAAACAAACGTGGATGCGCTTTCCGCCATATTAATCCCATTCCGATCAAGGTCGATCTTTCACGAATCAATTTCGGGATGACTCACTCATCTTGAGGGATGACCCCAACCGAATAAAAAATAAAAATAAAAAAAAAACGTTTTTGTTCGTTTTTATTCAGTTATTATTATTATTATTATTATCATTATTATTATTATTAAATTTTGTATTTATTTTATCGAAGTTAATTTTCGCCATTAAATAAATAAATAAAAAAAATTGCAACGTGATAATAATGATAATAATTTTTGTAATTCAAAGAGTACGTGAATCTGATATGTTGTTTTTTTTAAGAAAAAATTTTAACCCGCAATGCCTTCGGGATTTCTGGAATTTTTTTTTCCTTGGGGAATCATATCGCAAATCAAAATTATTATTATAATAATTATTATTATTATTTAATAAAAACCTCCATAAGTTTTTGTTTTTTTTTTTTTTTTTTTTTTGGTAAGAATAACGCGAGAAATTTTTTTTTTACTTTTTTTTGCTTTTTTTTCTTTTTCTATTTATTTTTTTAAAAATAGCGTGAGGGGCGCGTGCGTGGGCGTGTGAAATTTTTAAAAAAGTTATTTAACATTAAAATAATCACGTGAAAATTTTTCAAATAAAATAAATCTACAAGGGATTCGATTTGATTTGATTTATTTTAACTGAAACCGTTTATAATTTGTAAAAACAAAATTTTTATTTTTTTTTTTTTGTAAACAATTGGGCCAATGGCGAATTATCAAGGTTTTTTTAAAACTTACTATAACAACAACCACCCGACAACTACGACAACAAACAACAACAACAACTCCAATTTAAAAAAAAAAATTTCTTTACAAATATTGTTAATATCTCCTTCTTTTTAATTTTTTTTTTTTTTTCTATTAAATAATTAATAATTCCAGTTTTTAATTTATACATACATTTATTTATTTATTTATTCCGACATCAAGGTTATTTATTTATTTTATTTTATTTTTGACGTTTTATGTAACTTTTTCGATCATTTACTATATTAACTCATAATTTTCTCTCTCTCTCTCTTTTTTGGAAAAGAAATTACCGAAAGTAAATTAAATCGGGTGAACCGAACAAATAAATATAAAAGTAATTATTATTATTATTATTTTAAGAAAAAAATTAAATAAAACCCCCGAATTTAAGGATTACGGTAAAAATCTCCATAAATTTTTTTGTTTTCCTTTGTCTTTCTTTGTTGAATCCACGTTTACATATAAACGTACAAGTAAGGTAAAAGTAAATTAGTTTAAAAGTAACGTTATAAATTTCTTCATCATTATCATTATCATTATTTTTTCTTTTTCGTTCGGAGAAGGGTGTTTTGGTAAATGTGGCGACAACATTTCAACCCTTAAATAAAATCTTTTTTTTCTTAAACAAAAAAAAAGGAATTTTTTTTTTTTAACCCTCGTTCGAAATTCTAATAAAATTATATAAATAATCTGAATTATATCCAGAAGTGTCGGATGGTAAAAGAAGGTTTCAGGTCATCGGTCATTGGACATCGCTATGTCTCCGTCAACGTCACATTTACATAAAGATTTAATTACGTTTGTTAGAGCGGGGGAGGAGGGGCGGAGAGTAGAAGGGGGAAGCGGGAAGGAGGGCGCGAGAGGGGGGAGAGAATGAGAAAATTCAAGAGAAAATCGGTTTTATGTGATTTCTTTTATAATCCTTTAACTCATCTCTTTCTTTCTCTCTCTCTCACTCTCTCTCTCACATTCATTCTTTTCATTATCTCGAATATGTTTTGTTTGCCTTATCCTTTTTAATTTAAGGTTATTTTTCATTTAAAATTATTTTCATTGTTTTTTTTTTTTTTTTTAAATCCGGTGAATTTTCTTTATTTTGTTTGTTTGAATAAAAAATTTTTCCGACGTTAAAAATCGATTTATTTAATTAATTAAATCAAAATTATTATTATTATTATCATTATTATTATCATTACAATTTTCGATCCAGATAAATAATTTTCATTAAAAAAAAAGAAAATTTATTCGAATGTGGAGAAAAAAGGGAAAATTTATTAATGTCATCGTATGTTAAAATAATTATAATCGCAACGTTTTTAAATTATTATTATTAATAAAAATTAACCTGGAAAAGTGACTTTTTTTTTATATAAAATGTTTTAGAAAAAACAACGAGTTATTAATATTATCATTATTATACAGGTGAACGAGTTTTTATTTTATTAATTTTAATCAATTTATTTTACCTGTCAATGTCAAAAAAAAAAGAAATATGTGTCGTTTATTATGGAACAATCTGGAAAAATCCCGTTTTGACAAGGACAAAATAATCAAATATCATTTCCAGGTTATTTAAAATATTTTTTGTAACAAACGGGAAAGCGTAGAAGGAGTTTAGAAAATAATAATAATGATAATAATAGCAATTTCGTTGACGAGTGTTTTACAATTATGCGAATTATTTTTTTTTTTTTACGTTCCTCTCTCTCTCTCTCTTTCCCTCTCTCTTCTCTCTCTCTCTCTCTGCATATCTCTATCTATCTATCTCTCTCTCTCTTTTTTTCTGCATATTTTTCTTTCTTATTTTCTCTTTTCTTTTCTCTTTTCAATTATTTTCTTTATTTTGTCTGTCTCGTGAAAAAAAAAACAAATAACAGTTAACATCATCATCATCATTATTAAATAATTTTAATTAATTTATTACGTAATAATCGAGCATAGAGTAAATAATTTATTACTTAATATATTTAACGTGGTTATTTACAAACAAAAAAGTATTTTTTTTTTTGGAGGAAGTTCTGGAAAAAAGAAAAAAAAATATTTGTGCCTGACCGTAATAAACACGTTAAAATTTGTTTTTTTTTCTCTCTCTCTCTCTTTCTTCTCCAGTTTTCAGATTCCAGTTTCTTCAAACTGACTGCATCTGTTGACTTTTAAATTCAATTTTATGGAAACAAAAAAAAAAAAAACATTTTTTTTTCTTATATATATAAAAAAAAAAAGAAAAATTGAATCACAAGCTCCATTGCTATTCTTTTTTGATTTAATTTTGTCATTTTTTTTTTTTTTCGTTCAAATTTTCTCCAGGCATGGAAAGTTGATGTAAAAAACAATAACATTCGATTTTTTTCTTTACTCTCTCACTATTTTATTTTATTTTTTTTTCATATACGAAAAAATATTTCAATAAAAAAAAAAAAAAGATTTGTTGTTTGACGGGGAAGAAGAAGAAAAAAAAAAAAAGAAAAAAAAAAAATAAATAAATAAATCGAAATGGAGTAACGTTGTTTAAAATCAATTTCAACAAAAAAAAAAAAGAAAAAGAAAAATGGCGAACGGGAGTTTATATTGTATGCAAAAGAAAAAGAAAAAAAAAACTAAATTTTCCTGTTCGCATGTAAAAGCTCTGACAGGAGTTATTCGAACGCCTCATTGACTACAGATTTGAATATTTTACCTCCACTCCCCCTTCCCTTACCCTTCCCCTTTCTTCCTCCCCCCGAAAAAAAAAATTGAATCTTGTTCTTTTTTTTTTTTTAAAAAAAAAAAAAATCTATGATGTCCTCATTCCTCGTCCTCGTCATTTTCCTACATATTTTTCTTATTCTCTTTCCATTTCCCCCCATCGTCTCCCTCACTTTTCCCTCCCCTTCCCTTCTTCAACAAACAAAAATCATATTTTAAAACTTCGGTTTATCTTATTTTGTGTGTATGTGGCCGGCCGCCTCAAGGAGGCTTACATCAACAAAAGTCAATTTTTGAAAAAGGAAATACGAACCTTTTCCAATTTTTTTTTTCCTCTCTTTCTCTCTCTCTCAAAAAAAACACGCACGCACGCACGCACACACATATTAAAATGATAAAAAACGATCCTTTTTCTTTTACTTCCGGTTAATATAACGACCACGTGATATTACACGGTCGGAAGTTCGGATTATTAAAAAAAAAAAACCCTTCAAACTGTATTTTGATATTTTCTTTAAGAACCACACACGAAATGACGTTTTTCATAACTAAACGTATTATTATTATCATCATTATCATTTTTATCATATATGTAACCTTTGATAATATGGTTCCAGTTATTATTTACAATAATAATAATAATAATAATAATAAACTTTTGGAAAATTGTAAAAGTTGTTTTCGTAAAATAAGGGAAAAAAATTTTTTTTTTTTTCTTAACCTAACCTTGACAAAACATTTGTTTCCCAGACTTTTACACTCGTAATAATAATAATAATAATTTTTTTGACGTAAAAACATTACTGCGAGACGAGTAGTACGCGATAAAAGGTTTGTATGGAGTCATAGATTAAAATTTTCATCGGATAACGCGTAAAAAAAAAAAAAATTGATTTATTGTAATAAAGAGTATATAAAATTCGAATCAAAAGTTTTTGGATGGAAAAAAAAAAAAAATTTCTCCTTGTTTGTTGTTTGTTTGTTGTTTGTTCGTTCTTTTTTTTTTCATACAAGGTAAAATTAATTTCACGGGCATTAACTTGAAATTAATCCACACACGAAAAAAAATTTACATCAAAAGAAAATAACCAATCGACTCTCCCTTCCGCCCCGCCCCCCGCTCTCGGCCTTTTTTTTGTTTCTTTTTGATTTCCTCCCTTTCTTCCGCTTCCTCTCTCCCACCCCTTCCCAACTAAACAACAGGAAAAAATTTAAATCTTATTTTAAATTAAATATTGATGCCCGGTGATGAGATACAACAAAACAAAAAAAAAACCTTTCAAAGGTTTTATATAAAAAAAAAAAAAAAGATAAAAGAAATAATAGATAAAATACATTGAGGTTTTCATATAACGGGATTATCCATAAAAATATTCCAGAGTTTTTGAAAATTTTCCAGTTACGTCACTAGGAAAAAAGAAAAATTTATTATTAAAAATCTTTTTTATGAAAAAGGGGCAAAAGAACAGAGACAAATGATTGCATGCATGATTAAATGGGGGCGAGAGGGGGGAGGTCGCGAAGGAAAAAAACAATGAATAAGTTTTTAAAACCTTTCTCTCTCTCTCTCTTTCTCCCTTAAATTTTTAAACGCTCACCCTTATC